CTCTTACATCTATTTCAGCAGTGGCAGCAGGCAACATGGCCCACTCAGCTCTGTCCCTCAGCCTTTTGTTGTTCCTCCCTGACCCCTAGCATCGGCTGCCTGAGGTAGATTTTTGTGACTCAAGATAGGGTCATCACTGCACTGGAACCCTAATCCTATCCTGACTGGCAGCAGAATTCCTGGATTTCAGGCAGGGTCCTCTCCTAGTTGAACCTGGGGCCTTCTGCCTGCAAAGTGTATGCTCTGCCAGTGAGCTTCAGGGCTTCAGTTCCCCACTGAGAGATTTACCCTTTAGAACCCTAAGGAGGGAGCAAAACCCAGAAAAATGACAGCTCACAGTTTCAAAATTGAGCAAGACATCCACCAAAAGGCAAAAAATGAAAATTTAAAAAGCAAGGAATGGTGACTTATCAGGGACACTTGGAGCACAGAACCCAGTCCCAGATTTACCACCCACTGAGAAGTAAACCTAAATGAAAGCACCTGGAGCAGGGCTTGATTTGAAAATTGTGGGGTGGGGGGTGGGGGTGTAAGGGAGGGTGCAGAGACAGCTCCTGTAGAAATTAAAAAGCAAAGCAAAAGCCCAGAGTGAGGCCGAAACTCCGTAGCTATTGGAAAAATTACAGAGCACACGCATCCCTTCTGAACAAATCGACCTTTTCCTTTTCATCAAGTTGCAAAACACTAAAGGTTAAGGAATGTTTGAAAGGAAGCTAATGCTTTTTAAAATGGGGAGGGGGGGTAGATTTATTCAAGACTCAAGCAAACTTTGCGAGGAACCATAAGGCACTAAACACATAAATTCCCCGATTCCAATAAAAAGAAAAGAAGGTGAATATGAACAGGCACATGCAATCTGTACATGCAATGTTTTTGTTTTTTTTATTGGAAGGATGAATGAATGTTATGAATGAGTGTTGCTTCCAGGACGACATGAAGTTTGAAAAGAATAAATAGCCAACGAGAGGCACCTGCCCCAATGCTGGTTAATTGCAATTTTTAAGCCACATTTCTTTGTCTCTAGTGTACGGGGATGACATGAGTACAAGGAGAGCAGATCAATGATGGTGTCAGATTTTCTTACTTTCCACGTTGCGTTTGACCTGGATGGCACGAACGGTAGTCACAACTAACGGGGAAAATGAAACCGCCTGTCCTGCTTTTATCACCCTAATGAGCACAAACAAAAATATGTAGAGAAACGCTTTCCCCAAAGTTCTCGAGGTTACTGCTCCAATCCTTCAGCTGTCCCTGAGCGAGCAGGGACAAATGTCAATTGGTACACCACGCAAAGGATTTGTGGGACAATTCAATCTTTACCCTAAAAAAGAAAGAAAGAAAAGAAATTGTGTGCAATAACAACAGCTGCAACAATAATAGCCTTAGTGACAATCATCGGAAATTAAAGAGAGAATAGGAACAGAAGACATAAAACTACAGCATCTTAAAGACTTAACCATTAATGAACTCTGTTTTGTGGCTTTTGTAGGCTGGAGTCCACATCATTGAATGGAAGTCTGCAAAAGCTTCTGCAAACATGGAATCTTGTCAGTCTTTAAGGCGACCCAAGACCATTTTGCATTGGATAGGGATGGAGGAGAATTTCAATTCACATCGCATTTAAAGGTGGGTCTAACCTATCCACACTTTTTGAAACAATATAAGACAATATAAGAAACATAGCAGGCCTTCAAAATTTGCACTGCTCTGGATTTTGCAACGCAATTCTCTGACCAAGTAATGTGCTAAGAAATGTGTATAGGTGGAAACAACATACAGGAAAAATTAGAGGTAATTGCTTTGCAAAAATGTGCATATTAGGCAAAAATGCACGAGGACGCACTAGTGAATCTTCATGAGCAAAAACAAACAAACTTCAAATGGATGTAGAAGTGTGGATAATTGAATTTAAGATTGGGAAAATGACAAAGAGGGAGAAACAGAAATTGACAGATTTGCCCATCCCTAGTGCCTGATGGAACAAATACAGCTGCTCTTCTGGAATAAGGACATAATCCCAGTCTGACAAAAGGTGCATTTCATCCAGTATCCTATTTTAACAAGTGGGCTCCAGACACTTCTGGAAACCCATGATCAAGGAGCTTGAGTTTAGTGTTCTTGCAAACTATTCCATCTAAACATGATCAGCTTCCTTCTAAACCTACTGTGAACAGTCATTGCCCTCAACCAGAGCCAGTGTGGTATGTACAGAAGATGCTGAACCAGGAGGGCCTGGTTCAAATGTCCCATCCTACAGCTCCATAAGTGCCCATAGGCAAAGCAGTATTTCTCAGCTAACAATTCTACCATCTCATTCTGTGGCACATGTAGCATTGGTGTTCTTCAAAATGTGTCTTCATCCCGCCCCCCTCATGTATGGTCAGGGCAGGTCCAACACATTTTGCTGCCTGAGGCAGAATGCTAACACCTCTCCCTCCTCCAATTCAAGGTGTGTAGTACTTGAGGAGGGCCAAGTTAAAATCCCACAATCACCTCTTATTGTTGTATTGTCACTTACGCTAACAAAGATACCTTTGCTGTCCCTTCTTGACATCCAAAACAAGCTGTCTGAGGAACTCACTACACTCTGCCTAATGGTAGGGGCAGCTGTGTCTAGAATGTCACTCTGCCTTGGTGCAGCCTCCTCCCTGTTCCAGAGTGGGGTGGGCCTGTATGGATTAAAATTGAATACTGGACACACATGCCCAATTCCAGGTGCCACCTTCAAAATGCTTACCTAAAATTACAGTTGAATTGGATTAATAAATGAATGCAAGATACTAGAGCTTAAACGGGGCTCTGGAGATGGTGCAATCAAACTTCTCGAGATGTCAGCGCAGCACTTAGCAGTATTTAACAGTTGCATAATATATGGAAATTCACTTCTGTGTTCCCATGCTGGGAGATATTTCATCTGCTGACATTCTGATTGCATCATGCAGCTATACAAAGCAGAAGAGCCCTGCCAGAGGGAAAAAGTTGGCAACCTTACTCTCAGCTTTTCCATGGCTTGACCCCTGCGCTTGAAACTGTAGCTTTGTTAAAGGGTCAGAAAAGTCCTTGTCGTCCCCCTTCATTGCACTGCAATGGCAGCTATTTAACCAGCTTACACACACCCTAAACTGTGTTAAATCCAGATACACAGAAAATCCTGGGAAGCGAATAATTTCTGTTTCTCTTCCCTAAAATCCTGTTTGCTAAAAACCCATTCGGTAGATGAGAGAATATTTTTTTCATTGTGAATAAGTGCTCAGGTTCATTCAGTCATTCCTGTTAACTGCCAAACGCGCCCCCTTTCTCCAGCATATAGGATTTCTATGAAAGCATGATTTAATTTGCAGTTAATTAACTCATCAAATCATCATTCTGATTAATCAATTAATGCTTTCAGACCCAACTGAGACATTTGTAATTTCTTACGAATAAAGTGGGCCCTTTTTTAAATTCATATGGCATGGTGATCAGCCGAAGTGAATGACAGGCAGTGTAAGTGATGCTTTGGACTAAAGTACATGGGATGCTCCTTCAATTAAAGTTTGAAAGCACTAATAGCCATTGATTTGATTCATTCATTAACTACAGATTAAAATGTTGAGTTTACAATCAGAACTCATCCATTGTGGGGAAAGGGTGAGCAATACGTTTAGGCATGAAGCATTGGGGACAAGAGCCTTGGAAGGGTTGCCGTAATGCTGGAATGTCTCTAAGCATGTACAAAGTGTTTTTCCATCATTGGTGAGCCTGAAAATAGGCTCTGGTCTGTTTGTTTTTCAAAATGTTGAAGTATTCCGCACAGTGGGGAATCTGTGGCAAACAGACTTGGTATGGGGGGGGGGCGTTGGGGCAGTCATTGTGATGCCCTCTAGATGCTGTTGGACTACAACTCCCATGAGCCACAGCTCGGACAATGGTCAGGGATGATAGGACTTTTAGTTTAACAGCAACTGGCAGGCAACACATTTGCTACCCCTGGCAAGGTGTCAACAGAAATTCAACTACACTCTTTAACCACAGACAATTGAGGGACAAACGAAATGGGTGTGTACAGCACAGGCAGAGATGCCTCTAGAATAACTCTCTTAATGATGATGTGCATCTAAGCAGCAGCAGCAGCAGCACCCCGGCCCAAAAGGTAAAATGGTTTAGCTCCAGGCACCTCTTCATGATCAGAAATAAACATTCCTGGGGGAAGGAACCATAGCACAGAGGGGGGGGGGGATTGAGCGCGCTCGCTTCTCCTGCAAAAGTTCCCAGGTTAATGCTTGGGCATCAGCAGTTGCAAAGGGGCCAAGGGATCCCAAATACTTGCTGCGGCTCTTGGTCGCAGACAAGCCCCGCGCAAAAACGAGTTTGCAAAAAAGACGAGCTGGTGCCTTCGCAGCGCGCGTAAACTTGGTTGCAGGGTCGCAGGAAACCCCTCACCTTTAAGAGCTGTGAAAGGCAAGAGTTTAAACGAGCGTCGCTCTCCCTCACAACTCTGCAGGGCAAACTTGCTCCGGTGCCCTCCCTCTCCTTTCTTTTCAGGACGGATAAAAGAAAGTCCTTCCTCTGCGCAGCGGCGCGTTGTTGAACGACGGAACTCGCGCCCGCAGGAGGCAGCGATGATGGCCACCAAACTGGATGGCTTCAAAAGTGGATTGGACAAATTCGTGGAAGGGGATAAGGCTATCAGTAGCCGCCAGCCACTAAGGTCATGCTCTGCTTCCACAGTTGGAGGCAGCAATGCTCCTGATACCAGTTGCTGGGAATCACTGGGCTCTTGGGCTCGGGTCTTGCTTGCGGGTTTCCTACAGGCATCTAAGTGGCCACTGTGAGAACAGGATGCTGGACTAGATGGGCCACTGGCCTGATCCTGCAGGCTTTTTCGATGTTCTTTTCTCCCTTGCATCAGGTCACCCCCGCCCACCTCCACCTCTTCTCCTTAAGGGATAGTTATCATGACAGTTAACATCCAGGAGAGTCGTCTTAATCCTCCCATCAATGAAAAGCAAAACAAGTAATCGAGCAACAAAAGATGTTTTTAATCGTTGACAGCCCCACTTTTTGCTAAGGAACCCCCGGAGACCCTGCTGGAAGGGAAGGCGCAGTTAGGGGCGCGCCACACCACCAACGCGTGCCAAGGGAGGGGGGGGTCTCTTTCGAATCCACCGCCTGCTCTAACGGATGTCTGTCTTGGAATCCAGAAATGCCTTTGCTTTTTGTGTCCTAGACAAAAGAGAAAGCCCCTTGTGTCTCTTGCGAAACCATCCCAGTGCCGAAGGAAGGGGGAAAGGGTGGTGGGGCCGGGAGAGGATTTGTCTTGCTGTAAATCACCCGTCCTTGTCTGGGACTGCTAGCGCCTCCGCCCTGCTTAAGCACATGCGTAACTCTCACCAAAATAAGTGAGACTTATTCGTTTTAATGGATCGGTGCCAAAAAATTTTTTTTAATTGTTTTACACAGAGGCGTTTGAAAACAGCACATTTTTTTTTTTAAAGAAAGAGTGAGTGGGTGGGTGTGTCAAAGACGGGGACATAAAGAAAATACGAATTCTTAGTCTCTCTCTTTCTCACACACCGTTTATGCTATGCAGTCAAATGACTTGTGCTTTCTTTTTTAAGCGAATCAAGCTTTATTGAGTATATATTATAGATTTTTTTAAAAAAATAAATAAATACATGGATGGATCTGGATATCCTGAGCCAGGATCCCAAAAACGTTGCTCGTGGTACTTGCTACGCTTGCCCTTCTTTTTAAAAAAGCAAGCAAAAGGGAAAAAGAAAAAGAAAAGAGCAATCCCATTTATGCAAAGGCGTCCGCTAGCAAAAACTTCCTAAGGGTGTGTGAAATTGACTAATCTCTCATGGCTTAATATAAATAGCATTTGCTGTCGCCTCTGGTGGCGTTGCAGGATCCGTGTCTTTCCTCCTCCCTCCCGCTGCCCAGCGAGAACGCACCGCGGCTCTGCCAGGCGTTAACTTATTTCTTCCCAAGCGATGGGCAATTGTCTTCTGCAGAGATTTCTCTTCGCTGCTTCTCTCTCCGGCGGGAGAACCATCTGCAGCTTCCAGCTTTCTGCAAAAAAAAACACACACCCCTGAGCGCTCTCTCGGTTTGCGTTCAGGCTGGGAAGCGATCAACCCAGAACAGGACGTCCCAGTTACAAATGGAGGGAAGCGGGCGCAAACAAAATTTGTCTTTTTAAGGAACCAAAATTCCTGCAGCTCGATCCAGGTTGAATAACCTGGTCGGCTTTCGTGGATTTAAAAGAAAATATATATACCTTCAGCTGCAATTAAAACAAGCTAAAACAGGGTTTGCAGCAGGTGAGGTTTTGCAAACTCCCCACCTGGAAAATCTGCACTGCCCCACCCCCCAATTTGATGCCCTCAGTTAGGAAAGAGTTTGGAGACGGCCTCGGAAAGTGGTGCTTTAAAGCCATCTCTCCCCACCCCCCTCCTTCTTCCAGAAAGGGTGTGTTTGTGTGAGCGCGCGCGCATGTGTATGCCTATGTACAGGATATTATGTGTGTGGCCTCAGCAGGATGAGAGCAGAAAACTTATCCAGGGAAGCTTATATATCCCCTTGGGACTCTTGGGAGGGCTGCGTGTCCGTGCGTGATGCTCTCTAGTTGTCCCTTACGGCCGTGGCGCAAAAGGGAATCGGGAAGGCGCAAGAGCCACTTTTCCACAACAGCCCCGCGCAGAGGGAGGTCAATTCGCGGCGTTGCCGCCGCCCTTTCCTGGGCGCAAAAGTCCAGAGACCGGCTGGAGTGTGTGGCGCTCCTGAGCGCAGTTGGGGAGGTGTCGTGGGCAACTGGCGGATACCTGCCTTTGCTCTGCAAACCGTTTTCATTGGCCAGCCCTTGATCTGGGGCTCTTCTGACTTGGCCCCCATTGCACTGATTTACTAGGCGCTTTAGTTCAAGAAGGAGCGCCTCTGGCCAATTGTAGCCTCTGGCCAGTTTTAGCTTCTCCTGTGTGTGGTGTTTGTGTTAAGGCGCTTGGTGTTTCAAGTACACGCACGCACGCACCTCGCAAGAGCTCCTTCCAGACAGCGACTGGGATGACAGGGAAAATAATCTGGAGAGGGTTGTGAGATGGGATCTGATACAAAGGGAAAACTGAGTTTCTTTTAAACATCGCTTCCTTTTTTCTTTTTTCTTTTTTTCCTTTTTAAGAAAGCGGGGAATGGCAGTAATCCAGAGAGGGAAGGCAGGCACTGAATCCGAGCAACATTCCCAATTAAAATAAATAAATAAATGAGATACATAAAATCGATCTTTTCCTCTCCTTGCAGGACTTGCTGAGCCCGTTTGCAAAACCTAAAGGAGTTAAAACAACAACAATTATTTTGCAAAGACCAGCAGAAGGTGGGAAAGGGGGTTGTTAAAGAATTGCTCAGACTCTCCAGATCAATGGCTTGTGGGGGTCATTTCCGACGTGGAAGTCTTTTGAGACTTGCCCCGCCCCCCTACACCTCTCCACATGCTGATTGCAAACGGTTTTTAAAAGTTCCAAGCTCTGGATTTCTGGGCTGTTAAAAACCAAAACCCTAAAAACTGTCGGAGTTAGAACCACCACCGCTTAAGAGGCTCGGCAGACAAAACATCTGGTTCGTTAGGGCAAAGTTGCTGGAAAACAGAAAAGAAAACTTTGCTGCCGTGCAAATTCGCTTACCAAAACAATTTACATTCGAGAAAAGGTTCTTAGCCAAAATGAACAAACTTAGTTTCCTTTTTCTTTTTAATTTGTATCCGAGGGCTTTGGGAACCCGCAAGTAATTTCCAAAAGAAAATACGTTGTTATTGTTGCTGTTTCATAGCACTTGGGGCAATTTCCCCCAGAGCTCCGCCTCCCACATTTCAGGATTAATGATTACTTTCCCAACTATTTCCCCTCCCCACCAATATTTCCACCACCCTTCAAAAAAAGAGAAAAGAACTGAAGGATGTCATTGGGAAGGAGTGAAGAAGGAGTTATGGGAGGGGGAGTATTTTTTCCCAAGCCTACAAAAACCTCAGACCCCTCATATTTATGTTCATTCATTTCTCCCTTCCTTACTGTTCGTCAAGGAGGGGAGGGGGGGGACACACCCAATATTTTCTTTTCCTTCCCTTGGGAGAAATTAAAATTAAACTTGCAATTAAAATCGGGGGAGGGGGTGGAACTAGTTGTTGCTTCACCTTAGAACAAAAGAAAATGTTGGCACAGGAGGGGAAAATTATTACCAAGTTGCTTGTTTTAATAGACAGGCAAGATATATTTATGCTACACACAGAGACACACACACACGTCCCTGGACCTTGCCAATTTCATTCTGCCTTGCCTGTTTACACACACACACACACACACACACACACAATATATTAGGGAGAAGGGTTCACAGCCTCTTTAAGAATGAGTATCTGATTCTTAATACTACAAATACAAACTTTCTTGGGGAGAAGGTAGGAATCAGATCCCAGTCTTAAAAGGTCGGCCGCCGCCACGCACGCACACGATCATCCCCTTGCAGCCTTCTCAATAACAACACGACTACCTTTGCTCATGACGTTGTTCTGCAATGTATTTCTGCAAAGCTTTTCAGCCTCCAGACTCTCTCTCTCTCTCTCTCTCTCTCTCTCTCTCTCTCTCTCTCCACTCACAGGCCAGACCTGTCCTCTTTGCAGGATCAGATCCTCAAGTTCCCTTAAGCCCTTGGCAAATGTAGGGCTTTCCCCCCTCTTTTTATTCCCAGTTTTATTACTCGAGGCCTAAGCAACACTCCTGCAAACAAAGTACGCAATACTTCTTGGGTGAACTTTTGATTCCTTCTTAATGACGTTCAACGCGAAACGACCGGGTTAGTGCAAGGATTTGGGGAGGTTAGGTGTTTGGCTGTTTGTGCTTCCAGCAAGAGAAAAGATGTAGGAACTAAGGCAGGTCCTCTACGAAGCTGGTCCCAGCCAGCAGCGGTGGCAAATCTGCGTCTGAGTAGCCATGCCCAGTTTGGTACCCACGCCTCAAATACCTAAGGATAGATCATCCTTTCCAGATTGTCTGCCGCTGAAAAAGGAGGCAATTTCTTTGGAAGATTTGATCTTTTCGAAAGCCAAGTCCTTCCTCTAATTCTGCTAAAATCATCAACCTTCCCAATGTAATTACGACCGTTTTAGAAATACTGGTAATCAAGCTTTCATTACAAATAAGTTTCTTTTATCTAAAAAAAAAAGGGGGGGGGAGTGCATTTGAGAAGTGAACTTTCTTGTGACGTTACAACCCAGTAGGATATTTTCTGCTTTGTTTAAGAAAACGACAACTTCTCATAGCAAAAAATGTCAAAAGTTCCTTTAAGAAAATATAAATAAATATAAATAGTTATAGATAGGTGTGTAAAGCCTAGCAGACGTGATTCCCTACGGGGGCAAGTCGCCCCCCCCTCCGAAAGAAGAGGGGTTTTATCTGAAAACTGCCATGTTTAGCAGACTTCTTAGTTTCAGACCTGTGCAAAGGTGGCACCCCCCCATCTCTCTCCATCTGAGCTACCGAAGTTCTCTGAAATGCTATGCTCATTCCCCAATCCCGAAACGGCAACACCTTAATTAAAACAATTGCATTTTACGTTCTTAGTTCCTGATAAGAACCATCAAGAGAGTCTCCTCTTTTTGCAAAAATAAAAAATAACCCCCCCCCCCAAGAATAAGCCAAACTTCTCAGCCCAAATTCTCCAGCGCCTTCCATAAGACTCATTCCATATAGGGGTAAACTCTCCCAGGTTTGAGTCCCCGGAACAATTAAGACTAAGGAGGTGATCCTCTTCCTTTCCTCTCTTCCTCTCCTCCCATTTTACATTATAGCTCTCTGGTTTTACCAAAAGAAGAAGAAAAAAAGCGAATATTGTTTCTGATACGTGGGGGAGGAAGATCAAGGTTTTCTCTCTTTTTTTCTCTTTACACCTAGCACCCTGGCGGGGGGGGGGGTAATCCCCTCCCTGCAAATTCAATGCCATTTTGCAGGTATTTGACTAATTAAAAAGAAGCAGTTTCACTGGGCCTGCCTTGCTAAAATGCAGATCGTTCTAATTTAATAGCTGCAGGGAAAATGTGTGTGTGTGGGGGGGACCTGCAAGGGCTAGACGACTTGTAGTGCCCCTCTCTTCCTGTCCAAACTCCTCTGCCTCTTTCCATCCATCCAATTCTGGACCACTGTTTAATAGGAAAGTGGTCCATGGCATCGTCAGGATGCAAGAAGAACAGGATTAGAGAATGAGGAGTAGATTGGTTGTTTCACAAGTTTGTGTTGGGTTCTTGTGGTCCTTCAGACACACCAGGGGTTCCTGGTGCGACACTCAGCTCAGGGGGAAGTGAATCCAATGAAGAGCAGGATCCACACTATTTGGGGCGGGGGCGGGGGCGGGAGCGGGGTCAGAAGGAGGTCCTTTCACTCCCCACCCCCCGGTTTAAAATTCTGGCTTACTACGCATTTGCACGCAAAACCGCCTCCCTTCCTGGCCAATAAAACTGCTATTAGCTGGCCCTTCTTCTAATTCTAAAACATTGTGGCCTGGAAGAAAAGGGAAAGTTTTGCTTCGGTGCAAAAAGTTAAACCCCGCTCGGGTTGCAAAACAGGCCTCTATCTCTGTCCGGACCTCACGGCTTTCAGTTACATCTTGTCTAACCCAGATATCGCCTAGTGTACCCCCGCTCCTTTGGGGAAAAAACCCACCCACCCACACACACACACAGCCCTAATAACCACGAGCGATTCTCACGCTGAGCAAAAACTCTCAATAATAACAGTCTCAATTGCGCGCGCGCCTTGCTTTGGACACCCGCGCATTCTCCCCTTTAGGATCGTGTGCAGCTCTCTGTAGCTGGTCACACAAACCCCGTGCGCTTTTACGCGGTTTGACAAGCATGCATTTTGGAAAGCTGCTCCATTTCTCCGGACTTTGTTGGGTCTCTGCTCTCCCCTCCGCCGCCGCTTCAAGACTTTGCGCTCACATTTGCTGCAAAGGCAAGCTGACCCCTTCTTCCCTGCTTAAGTTGCCCCGCGCGCGCGAGTTATTGGTGCGGAATCTCCCAGCCTCCCGTTCCGCCTGCCCGGCGCTTGCAGTTGCAACGCGCGCATCCCGGGTGACACTGATGGATGCGCCAATGGGGGAGATGGACAGATGTTGGGGCGGATCTAACGGCATGCAAAGCCAGAGAAGCAGAGGGAACTCGGAGAATCGGGATTGCGGGGAAATAAAATAGAAAACTCACTCATTCCTGGTACACACAACCCGCCACCCAACCCACCAGCAAAGTCAGAGAGGAAATGTTTCTTCTTCTTCTTCTATTATTATTATTATTATTATTATTATGGGGTAGACTAAGGGTTTGCTAAGCAAGCCCTTATCGCCTCTCGCAGTGTCCAGATCCTGGATCCTGCAACAGCAAACCGACGCCAATGCAAGGGAGCCCAGCGACCCTGGACAAGACAACTCACCCTCTTCTGCTCCTAGGCAAGAGAATTAACATTCTCCCACGCTGGCGGTGGCAATTTCCCGAGGACTGCAAAATACTTTTGCTCTCTCTCTGTTTGTGCATGTGTGTGTCTCATCCTAAGGGACCGTCTCTCTCACCCCTCCCTTTCTTAAAAAAAAGAAGACGGAAACCATCCAACAACAGCATATTTTCCCTCCCCCTGCTACTCTTCAATGCAAAAAAAGAGAAAAAGTACCTAATCCCTTCCCCCGCACAGCAAAACCCAACATCTGAAAACATCTGTACCGAGTGAGGGTCTTGGGAGGCATCCCAAAATCTTCAAAGACTAGGACAGACTGCAGTGTGTTTCTTAATATATATTTTTTTATAAAAAAACCTTACTGTGAAAAAGTGAGATCACTCTTTCCCCCCACTCAAAAAAGCACGAGATTACACACAAATTGTTATCATCATCATCATCATCTTCATCATCATCATCATTTATTTTTTTTAAGATAGGAAAATTCTTTGCTACTGATGTTTGCTGCGCTTAAGCAAAAGGATCTGGGTCTCCAGGCGCTTGCCCGGGCATTGCAGGGAGCTGTTATTAAATATCTCTCAGCCACACAAAGAAAAGAGAGCGGGGAGGAAGAGAGAGAGAGAGAGAGAGAGAGAGAGAGAGAAAGGGGGAGGGGGTGCAATTGGCAGTCGAGAAGGTGCTTGGCTCTACCTTCTGATCCATGTTCATAAAGCACTTGAAACGCAGTTAAGAGTCCATCCTCTCTTCTCTGGCTCCCCCTCTTCCCTCCTCCCTCCCTTCCATTCCCTCTGCCGTACCCTATTGCAAGCCAGGAACACCCAATCGAACGCGCAGCGCATCGATTCGCCAAGCGCTCTTTTGGCAAGGGATTTCTTTTTCTTTCTTTCTTTTTTAAAAAACCCACCCTCCTAGATCTCTTTCCCCCACCAATGAACTTGGACTTGCAAGGCGGGGTGGGAGCGAGCGAGCGACTGAAAGAGCCTCTTTAAAAAAATAAAATAAAAATTTTAAGAAGTACGTGGTGTGATGTGTGGTGAAGAAGAAAACCTGGGAGGCTTGTTTCTTTTTGCAATGGACCAAGCTTAGCTGGTCTTTATTATTATTATTATTTTCTCCTCCCCTTCCCCGTACTGTTTGCAAAGATTTCCTGGGGGACCTTTGCAAAGATGAGGACAGAGACGTGAAGGAAGGCAGGAAGAGGAGAGAGGAGGGGGCGGGAGGGGAGAGAGCTCCTAAAGTGGATCCTCTCTGCAGCAAGAAAGAGGATTGCAAGCCGGAAACCTTGGATATATGCTTGCAGGAGCCTGAAAAAGCACCCAGCAAGGAAGGCTGGTAAGTCAGGGAAGCAGCAATGCCAAGAGGGGGGCGTGAATCCCGGAGGGGCGCATGAATGCTCTGGGCCCCAGAGAGAGAAGCGATTGGAGGGGCGCTGCTGTTTCTTTCCTTTCCGTTTTAATGCTGGGTCCTGGGTGAAGCGTTTTGTTGTGGGGTAGGGGAGAGTTGCAAGTGCAACCCAGCTCCTACTTATGCTTGTTCGGATGCAAGTACCACCGACTCCGGCGGAACTTCTTCCCAAGTCAATGTCTCTCTCCTCCCCACCCCCTCGAAAAACCCCTTCCTTTACGTTGGTGGACTCACGAATCCTAAGTCCCGGGACCCCTGATCAAAGCAGCAGGGTCAAGTTTCAAAGGGGCTTGCACCCCCTAACAAGGAGCTGGCACCTCTGTTGCTGGACTCCTGCTGTTGACCTGTGCTGCTATTATTATTATTATTATTATTATTATTATTATTATTATTACTTCCAGAGATTTTGGCATGCGGAACACAGTCCTCCAGCCTAGAAAAATACTTTGCCCCTTCTATGCTCTCTCTCCCCCCCCGAATCCCCCGCCCTGGTGCTGCCACTGAATGGGGGGGGGAGTTTAGAGGCGCCTGGCGGTGGTTGAAAGGGAAGGGAGCAGGAAGCACCCCTGATAGCAGAGCTGGGCAAACCTTCTCCCTTCCTCTCCCGCTGGCCTCCCTTGACAGATCTGCTGTCAAGGCCTGGATGACCGGAGGGCGGCCGCGTTTCAGGAGGGGTGGGCAGGCGGGAGAGGCTGCCTGGAAGAACTCTGGCTCACCCCTTCCCAGCCAACACCCCCCCCCCGCGCCTGCCAGCCACCCCCATCCGCATGCCTTCCACGCACTTCCCAGACTTTACTTTGCTGGAGGAATTCTCCTCCGAGCTGGAGAGGAAGGAAGATGATGGATTTCTTATTTCACCCTTTTGGAGAAGAAGAGAAGGATCTCTAAGCCACGGGGTTTTTGTTTAAGGGGGATTATTTCGAAGGAGTTGTCTGAGAAGGGGAGGGATTGGGACCCCGGAGCAACATAGGGCGGAGAGGTCAAGAAATGGGAGCTTTCCAGGAGTCCCCCCTGGGGATGTTTGGAAGGGATCTGGACTTTGGGTGGGTGGTCTCTGAAGCTCACGAGATGGGCTTCGTCTCCAAGTTAATTGATCCAGGTGGGATAAGGGGAGACCCAAAGGATGCCTTGGAGAGGTTTAGACGGGGGCTGAGAGGGCGTTTAGGATATTGGGAGGGGGGTATCCCCATCATTGTCCCGTTGGCCTAGATCTGAGATTCCCTCCAGACCTCAGGGGTTTCCAATAGGAGCGGGATCGGAGAGCCCAACCGAGGTGGGACCTCCAAACTCCTGTCGGGTGATGGGACGAGAAGTCTCAGGTATTTTTCCTGCTCCCAAAAAGAGCTCTTTCTGGGAGGGGGGCACAGGGGGTCCTGCCAATGCTGTCCTGGGGGTTCCCTCTGGTTGTGGAGGTGGGTGGAAACCTAGGAGATGCAGCCCGAGCACAGTGTGTGCGTGGAAAGGTGAGTCTCACCTGTGGGACGGGACGAGGAGCCGCTCTTCCTCTCCTCCTCGGCCACTCCTGGGGGTTCAGGCTCCGGGCAGAGACTTCCATGGGATACCCAAAAGGTGGCTTTCAGAACTCTCACGCGTGGTGGCTGGGGCGAAGTGGGGGGGGGGGGGAGAGGAAAGAAGGACGGCCCACCAGTTGGGTAGGGGAAGAGGCATGCTCCTCCCCTGCTTTCCTTGGGCAGCTTGGCATCTGAGACAACCCCCCAGCCCGCTCTGCTGCTGCAGACTGGGCACCCTCGAGATCACTCGCCCTAAGCTGATGGGCGCCGTCGAGGCTGCGGATTGAATTGAGCGGGGAGGGGACGGGTTGGAGGAGGAGGGATCCCTCCTTGTCCCCTCCCCCTCCTCCCGGCTGCCATCTGGGGAGGGGGAATCCCCTCTCCTGCTGCCTCCCCCCTCCCTACTCCAGAGCGCTCTTCTTTCGCGCGTGGCCCCCGCTGCGTTGCTGGGCGGCTGCCGCGCGAGGCGCAAAGAGTTAAGGCGGCAGCGGCAGCTTCGGCGGCAACGGTGATGGGCGCCCCCCTCTCCCTCCCTCTCCCTCTCCCCGGCGACTAGTTGGAGTCACGCTGCGATCATCTCTTTTTCCCTTCAAGCTTTGCCTGTTGCCTCCGCCGAAGCCGAAGAAGCCGCCGCTCCCTCCGAGCGCCGCTCGCCAAGCCGTCGGAGCGCCGGGCTGGAGAACTGCAAGGCTGCGCGCGGCGCTTCCAAGAGCCGACCGGCCGCTCCAGCAGGAACCCCGGAGGGCGCTTGATGCCGTGAGCTCCCCGAAGAAGACCGGAGGAGGAGGAGGAGAAGGAGGCGCCGCCGCTACCGTCGGGCCGGGCTGGGGGTGGCTCCCCTCGGAAGGACTCCCCCAGAGGGCGCCTCCACAGGGCTGGCCCCAGTCCTTGCGCTCCTTGCTGCGGGGCGATCTGTCAAAGTCCCCCCTCCTTCGCTCCTTCCCTCCCTCCTTCCCGCGAGCAGCAGGGCTGTCCTTTGCGCTCCCTTCTCCGGCTGCTGCTCCTGCCTCCGCCTCCTCTTTCTCCTCCTCCTCCTCCTCCTCCTCCTCTTGCACATCGTGCATGCCCAGCAGCGGCAGCAGAGGCGGCAGCAACAACAACAAAAAGCTCGCAGCGGCAGCGGCAGCCCAGCCTGGAGCGGCTCTCTCCTCCGACCCGGATCGAGGGAGGCTGAAGCAACTCTGCTGGCCCCCAGCCCCCAGCCGGCCACCTCCTCCTCCGCCTCCTCGCCGCCGCCGCCTCCTCCGGGCGCTGCCAGCGGACGCTGCCTTGCAACATGCCGAGGAGGAAACAGCAAGCGCCCCGGCGCGCAGCAGGTACGAGCCAGGCGCTCCCCCCACATCCTCTCTTCCCAGAATCTGCCACTCCAGGTTAGATTCCGCCCTGCACCCCGCTCCTCTCTTGACCGCTGGTTAGCCAGGCTCTCTTTCGCTTCTTCTCTCTCCCACGATTTAGGAAGCAGGGTGGGGTTGTGGGGGTTGGTTGGTGGGAATAGCCACCCTCTCAGCGCCTTACTTTTGATTTTATTGGGGCTGAGACCCTTGGATTCCGGAGCTTTGGGGCACTTTCCTGAACAGTGCATCATCTGGGTGACTTGTACAAAGAGGGCCGTTGGGGTCCTCTTTGGCTTCCCCACCGCCTTCCTGGTTCCCTCTCCCAGTTTTTCACCCCAAATGTTATTTATTTATGGTTTCTTGTGCCAGAGGAGGTGGTTTGGCAGGAGGCACAGAGAGACGCTTAGGACCATGTGGATAAAATTCCTTCACCCAACTTTCTTTCTTTGCCTTTGGGGGTGACACCGAGAGAGGGGGGCACCACCACCAGGCACCCTCTTCTTTCTGAATGGGCACTTCCTTTGACACCCTCCACGCTATTGATTTCTAATTTATAAGACTAAGCTGCACAGGAAACCAGAGCAAAGGGGGAAAAGGGGAAAAAACGGTTCTGGATATTGTTAGATGGTTGTCAAGAATCTTTTTTTACATTCCTTTTTACACTTGCCAGAGTTTGTTTTTTAGGATATCCATATACTTTTCCCTTTTAACTTTTTTTTTTTAAAAAGAAACTGGTCCACTTTATTTACCATCAGCAGTGCTAGCTCTTGTTAAATTTGCAAACCGGATATTTTTGTGTGTGGAAAGGCCAGGTTTGCAAAACAAATACTTCTTCCTTCCTCCATGCCTTCCTTTTAAAAACAAAACACCAAACCCCATACCTTTTATTTTTGCAGCCCTTTTTAAGGCAAGGGGTGGGTGGAGATCTGGGTCTGGAGCAGAGTTTCCTTGGCCTGTTGCCATCCTTGATTTGATGGCTGATTGATTGCCTGTCATCCAGTTGCCTTTGATCTATTCATTCCCAATAAACCTCAATAAATCACTTGCCATGGTAACGCCAGACTCTGTATGACATCACGCACGTGGCCTGTCAGCTCTGCCAGTGCAACTTTCAGGGTTTCTGGTTTGCTTTAGTTGGGGTGGCATGGACGGAGAGAGTTGATTAGGGCAGATCTTCTTGCACTGGAAGATCCCCTCCTTGCAGAGTACTGAAGGGGAGAGGATCAGTATTCTGTGGATAATTAAGTGTGGGAGATGAAGTTCTTGTAATCTTTAGGAAGCAGACATATGCAAGGTATGCTGGAGTGCCTTTTGATTTTGAAGTGGTTGTCGTCCTATGTTTAATCAGGGAGTTTATCATTTCTTGTGGCAATGAGAAGGAAGGTATACTTCTCAACAGCATCTTCTCAGAAATGGCTTGGTCTACAAGATAACCAGGCAGGCAGGCAGGCAGGCTGGCTCTCATGGGCGACAAGTTTGATTTTTCTCGAAATGAATCATCATGCACGGCATACATGCATCTTAACTTCATTCCTACATATCCATTTCCCCCAAAGCATGCCTCACCGATCGCCTTCCTTTTTTGAAGTTGTGATAGGAAGAAACTCTTTGTTTCCTTCTTGCAACACTTTAGCACTTTGCTCAGGAGCTGAGAAGTTAAGGAAAAGTTTCTGTTTGTAACAAACACGATGACGTAGGCACCTATCCCGTCTTTTGCCTTTCAGATGAATGCGAAGAAATGCTTGAAAGGTGAATTCAGAAGTTTCCCTTAACAATGATTAATTTCACTGGAAAGGAAATATCTTCCAGGAGGTTCAGGCCTGTTCCTCAGGGCTAAACCAAGTTTTGAACTTGCAGTGTTCAGGAAAGGAAAGTCTCCAGACCTCTGCTGGAATTGGGGTTGGGCTGTGCGTTCTGCTGAACCTTTATATTTTGAGGCATGCTTTCTTCTTTATATATATGCAGTTCTCACAAACAACTTACGATGTGTGCTGCACTGAGCAAAAGTGAAATCTCTCCTAGCTAACATCAGTGCAGATTTTGAATAAAGCTGAGCACCTTTGGCTGAAGCATTTAATTCACTTTTAAAAAATAAAATAAAAAGGAAAACTAATATAGCAGCATTTTTTTAATGAAAAGAAAGAAAAGAGCTTTCCAATGTAAAGTATCAGGTTATTTAAGAAATATTCATTAACAAAAAAAAGGGAGTTCGGGACTAATAGGAGATGGAAGAATGGATTTGCTCTATCAAAATGACCCGTCAAAACGACTTTGTTTCATATTTGATTTAATTGTCTCTCTCCTGACAGGCACATTTATCAATAGCTTAATGGTCAATCAGAAGTTGGCAGAGTGAATGCTTTCATTCTTTCTCATACACTTGCCTTGCCTTTACTTTATCAAAATGCCTTTGGCTAATGGATATAGGGAGTGGGGGCAGAGAATGAATGAGATCTGCTTATTTAAGGCAAGTGGAACAAAACTATGCTGTTGGTATAGGAAAAAATAGCCGAGGAGCTTATTATTATTATTTTAAAAAAACCATTTGATGCAGCAGAAAGTTTTTTTAAAAAATGTTTTCTTTTCTTCTTTATTTAACAGCTGCAACTTGTAAGGTCCGTGACTGCTTTTGTGGTATACTCAGAGCGATGACAAATTTATTGCTTTGTACTGATAGAGCAAAGAGGAGAAAAAACAGGGGGGGGGTAGAGGGAGAGTATGTGTGTTGGAGAGAGGAGACATACACATTACATATCCCTTGATTCGTCACTCAGGAAATCCAGTCTCCAGCAACCTTGAGAATACTCTAGGAAAAAAAAATCCCCCTCCAAACTGAAAGGTCCGCTCAGCCATAAAAAAAGAAAAGTTGTTTTGCCAGCTTCATTAGTGTTCACCTAATTAGCTGTAAACCTGATGGATTCCTGACAGCTTTAATGATTGGAGATGACAAGCTCCACGCAGTGTCATCCAGCGGAATTAGGTTTGGAGCTAGTTTGATGTAATCAAGTTGATATTACACAGTCCTGGTTGCCTTTAGTTGTGCATTAACTCAATTTTCTGCTGCAGGTGACAAATGGGCTTTGGTACCTGGATAATCATGTCATAGGAATTAGGGCCCTCGTAATGGTCTGGAGTTGAATAACAACAACAAAGGACTCTCGGCAGCGTAGAGAGAGCTTGCAGCAGGTATTGCAGACAGGTGCGCAAATCCTTCATGTCTAGCCCAAGTGTGAACACCACAAGGGAGAAGACTAAAGCTGTCTTGAAGAATCAGAGAAATCTGTAAAAATGATGGTGTCTGTTTGTTTACTTTAGGACTTGGGTTGAGTAGGGTGGATGAGAGGAGAGGGGATGGAGGTGCTGAACGGGGTTTCTAAGAGGTACCAAAAGGTTTTATTTGGATAGCATTCTCCCCCCCCCCAAGTTTTCATCATTTAAGTTGGAAAATGGTGTGTGCTGAGAAAGGGAACAGCATTTATTGCTGATTAGGAAAGTGTGGAGATTCTGCATTTAACAGAGGCCATTCTAGTTCATGCAAGCCATAATTATCTCACTTGGAATTACAAGCTTCCACATATTGCTTTAAAAAAATAAAATCTCCCTCTTTCAACGATTGAGAAAAGATTATTGCTGTTTCCTTTTCAGGTGGGGTTGGACATGATGGCTGGGAATTGTAAAGGTCCCCTAGAACTGCTTTCAGACTGCCATTATAATACACATTGAACTCAGTGGGGCTTGTTTCTGAGTAGGCATGTATAGGGCTGTGTGGCTAAAGATGCAGCTCACCTTGGTGTTATTATTATGGTGGAATTAGAGATTTCTCGCTTTGCACCCTGAGGATGTTGCCACCCCACCTTCAAACAATAAGGCAGAGCAAATCTGATCTGAGGCCTGGAAAAATTACAGCAAAGGCTTCAGGTGTGATCCAGAATACTTAACACCAATGGGAATTATGTCATGGATTTCAGTGCTATGTGGATTCCACCATCAGCTCTGCAAAATATGCTTTATTTCCCACAACTGTACATGTAGTTCTATTAAAATCCTTAAATTGACTTCTGCTCCTGAAAAGGACTTAAGTCAGCAGGAAAACGTACAAATAGAAATAGATGGATTTTATTTTACTTCCCTCCCATGGAAACCTCTTTGGTTATCAGAGATCACAGTGAAATTTACAAGTTCTTATAGCCTTGGTGGCGGTAGGAGATAATCTGCCATACAGGCTGAATTATAATGCTTAGGTCTTCAGGTGAAATCCAGAATTTGGGAATATGAGTTCAGGAAGTTGAGTGTAACCCCTAAAAAAAGTTTGTACACCACAAGTAGTCTGTGTGTGTGTGTGTGTGTGTGTGTGTGTGTGTATGTGTAGAACTGCATGCTGTGATAAAGTAAACTCTCTTCCTGAGTCCCTCCAGCCTCAGCCTCTGGGACTTTCCTTTGCTTACAAACCTGCCACATATTTCTCTGTGGGGCACAGAGTCTTCTTAGCTGACAAAATAATTAGTTATGGCTAAGGTTGTCCTTTGCAGTCCCTTACCCCTCAAAATAAAATTTAAAAGTGTGGAAAACAATGAGCAAAAGGAGGTAAGGGAGAGAGTGGAGCGTAAACCTTTGAAAAAGGAAGGAAGTCCTGATTCCATTGAATGGCTTGTTGGGAAAGGGAATTTTCTAGAATCAGCTGCCACTGCTCCCATTAGCTTGACAGCTGTCAATTAGCCCTTCAGTAGTCTCCTGGGCCACAGTTTATTGCGTGCAGTTGATGTTGTCATTTTGTTCTCCGTTTTGCCTTGAGCACTATGATGAGCTGGAGTGAAATAGTCAATAACTGATGTATCAGCAGTTATTTCTTAAATTGGCTCACAAGTCTGCATTTCCCCCCTTTTTTATAGTAAAGATTGTTTTGTAAAGTGATTAGAATGAATTGTGACTGCTACAGGGTTATGGGAAATGTGGTCTAGCTTGGGGGGGGTGTTAGAAGGATT